CCTCTCATACAGATCTGTAACCTCTCCACCAAGATGGTAAATGCAATGAGTTTTATACAGCAAATTCACAGAGGAAAGCTCATTCTAAGATTCCATATTAGGACTTGTTTTCCTCTCTACAAACATTTATTTGTAATTGACCACGTTCTTTTTAAGAAGCAGTTTTCCCTTGTATACAGACAAAATAAAGTATATAAATAAAAGGTGTGAAATGAGCGAGACTTTCTGCTGTTGTAGCATTAATATCAAAAAGTCAAATAATATGCTTGCAATTGTTCTTTCATACTGTTGCTAGGTAAAAGGGATTTTTCAAAGCCAACTAGTCACTATCTTATACACTTTAAAAAAGGTAAATGCTAAAATTCTTCCTCATCAACAAACGCTAGATATGAAATGAGCAGGGAAGTAAACCAGATATGTGATTATTTATATTTAGTTGAGAAGAAGTGGAAGAGATTAGGTAAACTACGGTATCCTGAGTCTTTGTTTAAAACTCCTTTAATTTCAATATGCTGCACAATGAAATTTCAAGACAAGTAGAACATTTCAAGATGGTAGAGAAATACTTTTCTCCTAGGTTTGCTGGTGTGTCTGAAAAAAAGGAAATCATTTAATTTGGACGTAGTGCATTCTTTAAATTTCCAATAAGTGAGGCTCAGCTGGAATGAATATTTCAGAATATTAAATCACTTCCCATTAAATTCCATCTGCAACCCATCAGTCTGAAGTGGGTTTTGAAATTAAATTCACTTAAATGGTGGGAAAAAAATATATTTATACTTCCAGCAATTGCCTTATTTCTATTAAGTTAAATGCTTAGGAAAAGTATTGTAGTGTTGTGAGCATCACACAAACTTTAAATCTAGGTTACTTTACATGAAAATACTCAAAATGACAAGTGCAGCTTTATTCCTTCATCTCTCCTGAAGTAGTGTTTCAGTTGTGTTTTTCTCCAATAAATGGCAATAGTTCAGGTGTATATCATGTTATATATACTGTACAGGAACAAAAGGTGAAAATTATCCTTAGCTACTCTTTCTGATAAAAACAATGCACACACATGAATGTTACAAGATAACCTTGTAGCAGACTCTGCCGAACCAATGAGCTGCCCCTGTTCTAGCAGGAGTGACAAAGAGGAATGTATGGTCAGAGTGACAAAACAATTAATAAATGTCCAGTGAGAGGATCTGACATTTTTCTAGTACCAGTAACATTCTCAAATGCAGTTATAGGGACCAGTTCTTGGATCTTTACCATCCTGTAGAAATGCTCAGAGCGTTTAGCTGCTACATTCGTATATTCTGTTGTTTTTTTTTATTTTACCTTCACCAAAGCAATTTCATTTGTTACTATATTTAATGTCACTATAATAAATCTTGCTTAACCTACTGTATAAAGCTACTTCCCAGTTACGGTGAAATTCAATTGAATATCTTTGACATCTCCCTCATATCTACTTGATCCTGCAGGAAGTTCCTAACTAAAGGGGACAAGGAAAGCATATTCACCATGGATCACTTCCCACTGTGGTACCGTCGTGCAGCTGAACATCCCCCTGGGAGCTTCATCTACTACATTCCTGAGGAGGATACCAGAGGTACATTACAGCATCACCACACCGTCGGGGCCATTCGTAATCTCTGCTTTGATTTCAGAAAGAAAACATGGATGTTACAAAAGAACAAGTAATAGGTTTATTCCATGTTGAAAAAAAAGAAGAAAGAAAACAGCCGTGGAGCCTTCTTCATTTGAACACCTCACCTCACTTCAGGTGCCACACCTGAAGAAGGCTCCACGGGCGAAGCGTTGTGTTTTCTTTCTTCTTTTTTTCAGCATGGAATAAACCTATTAAATGTTCCTTCGCAGCCTACACATGCTGATGCAGCTGCCCACCTGAACATGTATGTTATCCATGTACTGTATGTTATGAGAAGCAGTCTGTTCCTAGTTTAGCAACCTCAAAAAAGATTGAAAATATCCGAGTACAATTACCTCTTGGAAGCAAGTGAAATAATACACGCACCTCAACATTCATATTTCAAACCCTGAGAATTATGCTCTGCCTGTGTGCTCAACAGGCAACTGTATGTGGACAATTTTGTATGTGTACATCAAGCAGGAGGTGGGCAAGTTTGCAGGAAAGCGAAACAGAATGGAGAGAAATTCAGACATTTTTTTTTTAGATCAGAAAAGGCAGAGCAACCTTTTGCACTGACACAAAACATTTTCAAAGTTGCCCTTGTTTCTTGGCACCATAAAGCATTCATTACATGTTGCACATGAGAAGAGGGCAGCAAAGAAAATGAGAAAACATCTTTGGTTTTGATCTTCTGGTCCAGTTCTGAAGCAAAGGAAATGACTTATTCTTGTTAAGAATACATTATAATACGGCAGAATCACTTGAGAAGAGATGCAGAGTGCTTTGAGGAAGATAGGCCATATTCCACATTTTTTTAAGAAATCAAGGTAAAGGTCAATTAGCAGCTTTGCCTTGAATGCATCATTGGAATCACAACAAAATGACTTTGTTGTAAATTACATGATTCAATTAATGCTCTTTGTAAATGCTCTACAGAACTTTTAGCAGCACCAGTCATGGGGATTTAAAAGTGGTGGGGAAACAGTGAATGAGACGAAAATGAATGAGTGTCAGATGGAGATGCGTAACTTGAGCGAGCACTGCAGTTATTTCATTTTGCAAAAATATTTAATACGTCAGCATTTATGGAACATGTTAGACATTAGTACAGATTTAGGCCTGAAACATTAGACATTGTTAAAATCTCAATTGTTTGGGCAACTGTTTTCTTCTAAACAAACAAGATGGGTCACACAAACTCATTTTATTTGTAACTAAATGTATTCTTTAGCTACAGTAGGTTTGCTTGGTAAACTACAATACATATGTTGTCTTGAATTAATTAAATTAATTTAACAGATTTTCTTACCTGGAATAAAATTAATGCAATCTGAGTCATAATTTAAAAGTAATCAAATTATCAAGTTGCCAAACATCACCCAACCCAGGATTTTCTGACCCAAACAGAAATTGGGTCACATGAGTGATACACAAACAATACATTTTTGTCACCATCTGCATGTAATGTTACAGCTAGAAACTGCTTTACAAAACACAGTTTAGTTGAAATGTCAGTCATCTTTACCTTACTTCAGCAACCTACAGTAAGCTCTTTTTAATCATTTATCCATAAAAGTAATATTTTCAAGTGATTTGAAGTGAAATTATTTTTTTAAGGATTGTTTTTCTAGGGCAACCGCTTGTGTCAAGCTTTCTCTAAAATCTGAAAAAAAGTACAAAATATTTAAATGAGCTACCATTTAAAAGTCCTAGCTATGGGTGTAAGGCAGGCATAGTCTCCGCTGAGCTTTCTGGGCATTAGTAAATCTGTTGTACCTTAAAGATTGCACAGAACATCTCAGAGAATTAGAGGTGGACGTGCTCAATAGTACTTCAGCAATGGTTGAATAAGTATGGGACTGTGGTTTGCCATGAAGATCAATTTACAGAGGGGCAATAGGCTTTTCACTGAACTGTTAAAAAGCACAATTAATTAAAATACATTAATTAGTAACTAAAACATTAAGTTAAGTAGTATGATATTGGAAAGGAGGAATATCCTTTATCCCTCCTGGATCCATCCAGCCTGGATATCCAGCAGACTTGCCAAGAGTTTTTTTTTGCAAAAGAAGTATCTGGAGTTTACAACACAGTGTCACTAATATGGTACACTTCCTTAAGAATAATGCAATACATCATATTGCAATAAGATGACCATGAAAAAACAGAGCAACCACCAAAAGAGGGAAATTAAAGCACGTGCTTTGTCCATCAACTCTAGTGTTCTTTGCAGAATAATTTGTAAACAGACTGTATTGACCCATTTTCAATTTAGAAACATACACTTTAAGTTTAAGTACAGTATATTACAATATCTGGCTTTGTGATAGGGTATATCTTAAATCACTACACTAAGAATTAAATAGGTAAAAGATGGAGTAATAAAAAATGCATAAAAAATGCAAGGAAAAATATGTGTAAAATAAGTAATCATTCCAAACGTGTCCTCATTTCATGAATGAAGTAAAAAAATAATGATTACTGTAATTAATTCTAAGTACTCATACCATCTGCATATACTGTATGAAGTGGTTATTACTTTAAATTCAGCATTACTTAATTGCTCTTTTGTTCTTTTGTTTCTAATCCTTTTAAACAAATTACTTTTATATTTTCATGAAGTCGTCTTTGAAAGAATTAGTACTTTTTAACTAAGGACATTTATTTCCTAATTCCTTACTTTGAAGTGAGTCATTTTTAGCATCCCAATTCATATTTTTGAAGTCTTTTGCAACATAGTTAGCTTATTATTCAAACATTTCCAGTAATGAACATCAAAGTGAAATGCAGTGCTGTAGCATTCCTATAATGTGTACTTACACTGCAGAATCTTAAAGTGAATTCACAATTAATTTTTAAGTTATGTACTTAGAAAAACATGCAGACATGTATTCTAAAGTGTTACCATACAGTACATTCTTTTCTCATTTCATAAAGATGCCTAGTAAGACAAACAGTTATATTGGAATGTAAATTATCTTGGAACAGGGATCTGTTGCTTTATTCTCTGTCGATGCAAATAAATTATACCTGCCTCCTCAGATGTTTTCAGGGACTACGAATATGACTATAGCCCCTCACCCAGTCCAGAAGACCTTGAACCGGAGTACGAGGATGGTATTTAAATCGGCATGTTGGGCTATGAGCATGTTCTCTCTGCATTTTCAATGTTTTTGGGTGGCATTTTCCATTGTGCATCCTTCCACCTGCTGCTATCCTTCTGCATGGCTCAAACCTCAGCTTCTCTACTGAGCAATAATTTATTCATTGACTTATCTCCTCACTTACATTCTGCCTTGCTAAAAAGCTCTCTGGGGGCCAATGTTTTGAAGAGAATGCATACTGTAGGACAAAAAGGCACAGAGGAATGAAATGCTTTTAACAGCATGAAAACTCACAACAAACACTCTCCTGTACAAAAGAAATGTAACAGGCTTGCGTTAAGTTGTGTCATGTACCATTTTTCTCACAGACCATAAAAAGAACCTTGGGAATCAGGATGGCGCAGTGTTACTCATTCAGAAACTGGAGCATTGCTCAGTGCCAGCAAATAAGCTGACACTCTGTGTCTATCCATGTCCAGAGTACCTGAAATACTTTTTGGGCATCCAGCATTACCATTCGAATGCACCTTTATTGTTCATTCCTTATTATGGTCTATTCCTTGTCAGAAAATCCTAAACATTAATCTGAAGGCTTTGTGTGAAACCTGCTTTCTGGATTCCTCCATATGAAAAAGTTTCAAGTGTACCCATACAGTAGATCTTTGAACTTCCATAGCACATACTGTACCTACTGTTTACACACTGTACCGTACACCCATATCGCTAGTCCAAAACGTAGTTTGCAGGTGCAGATTGCAGTAGTTCTGGTTAACCTGGTCCTATCTGGTCCTACATACAGTAGTTTTAAAATAAATGAACCATGTATTTGTAGTGCTTGTGACTACATATCATGTGCTCCTTGCATTTTGTATGTAAAATGAACTATCAACTTAAAACGCTTCCTCACTGTGTTATTTAGTAGACAGCATTCTTAGACAGGCCAATCTATCCTTCCTAAATATGAAAGGAACCACCACTGACTTCATTAATGAATACCCGTTGAACATATAAGTGATTCGAATACAATTCAGAAAATTGCAATTTCCAAAATACTATGTACAGGGTAGTAGCTAATTAACCTCAATCTTTTCCTACCCTGCATAACTTATCACTCCTTTCTTTTGGTTTTTAACCTTATTTTAGACCACATTTGTGTATAGGTCCCCACTTCATCATATACCTACATATTTTTAGTTTCTGTTACAGGGTTATTTTAATGTATTATTTCACCAAGTACAGTAAACACATCCCACTAAGTTATGTATATTTTAATGGTTAGCTCATGCTACATGTAAATGTAAATAATTTAGACAAAGTTGTAATATGTAATGTGCAAAAGCCATGTTCATGTGTCTTTTGCATGAGCCCAGTATACCAAATTCCATGTTAGATGGTAAATAAATTGCATTAGACCTACAATTTTTGTAGTATTTGTCATACAGGATACCATTAGTTGCAGTATGTCATAGCTCTTTTTATTGTGTTTGTTCTTGATGATGTTTATGTGCTTTTTAATTTGTAGCCGGTCAGTTATAAATGGTTCATTTCTATGCAAATATTTTTTGGACATACTTTTTGAAATATCCCTTGCAATTTACAGATTATCGTGAGAGAAAAGCACCTGTCAACTCAAAACAAATACAAAAATTCTCGTGGTATTCTCATGAGTATTTATAAATCATTCATAGCCCATTTCCAGAGAATGCAAAATGTTACAAGACTGATATGAGTAAAAAATAAAGACCATATAAGTAGTCCAATTTATTTTATGGACTAAAAACAAGAATATCTGCAAATTACTGCTTGAATACTGTTGTCTTTAAAGGAAATAGCATGTGAGTGTGCTCTATGTGCTCCTTTAAGTGACCAGCTACAAAATGATTGCATGTGATCAGTGTGTTTTTGCAGGACCTCATGTAACTGGTCATTTATGGAGTTGTATTGTTTCAGTGTTAATGCTGACCTGTCCATCCTGTTCTGTTATGGCAGATGGGAATTCCAAGGGTGAGGTGGTGATCGCCAGCACCGCAGTGACAGTCACCATAGATAAGAAGATAGCCATCGCTGCAGGTAGGGAAGCTGGGGTTTTCTTTTGGAATAACTAAGTGTACAGTAAATAACTATATCTACTTCTAACACAAAAAAGTATTTTGGGGTTTTTTTCACAGTCAACAAATTAAACAGCTGCATCAGTTAATAGTCATATGAATCATTTATTATATGACTGTGAATCTATTTGAATTTAACTGATGGAGTTGTTCCTTTGCCATTATAAGGTTTATAATATGCCCTCATCGTTTCATAAGTAAATAATCTATGGTTGCATGGAGTGAAACATATGGTATTAGAAACTACACAAAATGAAACTGCCCTATGGTGGTACAGTGACAAAGTGGTTAGCATTGCTGCCTTGCAATTTTGGTTACTGGGTTCAATTCCAGACCTGGGGTGCTATCTGCATGGTGTTTGTATGTCCTTCCTGTGCTCACGTGGGTTTTAGCTGAGTGCGCCTGTTTCTTACCACTTTCCAAAGACATGCTGGTAAGTTAATTGGCTTCTGGGTAAAACACATTGACCCTGGTGTGAGCATGTGTGTTTGTGTCTGCGTCTGCTCTGCACTGGGGGCATCCCATCCAGGGTGCGTCCAGCCTTGCGCCCATTGCTTGCTAGTATTGGCTGAATTGCGCTGAATTGGATGAAGTGGTTAGAAAATAAATGGATAGATGAATATATTCCTATTCTTTTTCATTTCTGTCTAGATGCTTGCTAAAGCCCAATGCTGTGGCCAAATTCATTGCAGTATTTCCTGTTTAAATTCCTCTTGTCCTAATTAATTTTCAGATGAGTGTTCTCACCTTCCTTTATTGCTGCTTTTTAACGTTCATGTGTTCAAAACTACCAAACAGAGACTGCATTCCTCAGGTAGTAATGCCCTACTGAAGTAATTTGGTGTCATTTGTTCTGATATGGTGCTAGGCTGTCATTAAAGTCCAAATGTGGGTATACTGTACTTCATTTTCAGGATCCATCACTGCTATTATAAGATATGTCATTACTCCTGGAGAACTGTCAGCTTGTACTGTACTGGTGAAGACCAAACATTGTGAAGTTTTACTTTTATTTTTTTTTTGTCAAAGTTCTAAATCACTCTCTTGGACTGTATATACAGTAGCACAAGTGTTCCATCTGCATATAGTGAATTTGATTAATTTATATTTGCTATGCAAATTGAACAGTATCTTCCAACGACATTTCAATATAAGGAACAGATTCATTCCATAACAGTCCATTACAAAAGCAAAGTTCCACAACACAATCATATCATGTCGCTGTAAGATGTTTATGTTTCACATAAATCCTTAATCTGTTGTTGACAGAGACTCTACTTTTTGGATGACTGGTATGGTCCCAAAGTTGCAGGACTATATTTGTGACAAATAACTGTATTACTATATTATAATAAAGTACATGAATCTTAAATGGCAGGCAAATATGCTGTGGCTTAGAATGTAATATTTTAAAAAATATATTAGTTTTTATTTGCTTTCAGACTTAATGTCTTTATTAGTATATTTCTTATTCTAAGCCAGACAACAATGCCCCTGATCCTCATAACCCTTGTGTGAAAAACCTCCTACCTGTATTTTTCTTCATTTTGAATTTTGGAAGCTTTTTAGAAAGCTTATATTTATAGTCTATGTTTCTTTTATCTGAATATCACACTATACATTGCATGCATTCAATGTCATCTGATGTTTGCCAAGTTCCAAATATTTACCAAATCAAAACAATTTTGATGAATCCCAGGTAAGTCCCTAAGTGTTTATTTTAACTGAGCAGGTGAACTGTAAGCTACTGTACCTTACTGGAAATTAGAATGGTTCAAGTGTTAATTGAATCTTTAGTTGTACTATTAGTTGGATCAAACATGTCAAGTTTCTTAAGACAGCAATTCATTGTATTCAACAAAATTATAATGTACCTACAATACCAAGTTTGAAATTAAGTGACCAGTGTTTTGTTCAAGAGTAGTTTGCCAGTCTTGACTGTTCAGCAGAACAGAATAAATGGCGGTCAGTCATCCTGGAATATACAGGAATCCTATTTTACTATAGTGTAATTGCACCTACCATATTTGGACATAATTGGCCAAGAAGGGCTATGAAGAAGGCTATGACAAGCATCTGATGACCCAATGTGGGTGTATAAAGTACCACTGTAACCTGTGAGGTCAATGTCTGAAACAGGACTGGGTGTGATGTAATCTGCTTTGAAGTTTTCATTCAATAATGCTGCCCTTCCCAAGAAAATTGACTCTTTCATATGGTTGTCAGGTGCTTACTGTGGCTTATGCAGAAAAAACATTTTACCATGTGTTGACTGTGACCAGAATGATACTCTATATGCCAAGTTTGGAGTAAACTGGCAGAATAGTACTTGAGCAGCAATAGATTATGAACTGTAAGTGGTCACTTTTTGCCAACCTGTTGATGACCTGTTATGAATGGGAAAATTATGGGGAAAAAATGGGAAAATGGTATAAATCAGAACCTGTTTTGGGTTTTAATGGTATCTGCTGTATCACATTGCAATTCAAACGATTCTATGGCTCCCAAGACGAAGGCAGTATGAGCTGTGAGAATGAAACTTGCTATTTTCAGAATTAACTGGTTAAAAATGAAACTGAAGGACTTAGTACAACAGGTTGCACTTAAGCAACAAAGGATCATAACTGGAAGGCATTGGGTAATATACTGTATGATATTTTTCACAAATATCCATCCCGTTGGTACTTAAATTCTAGATATAAGGCTTGGAGCACTTTTCATGACAAGCTGCATTTCTCAAAATGGTTTATGACCCCCTGAGGGAAGAACAATTCAATCATAGCACTATTTAAGTAGCAAAATTGAAAAAGCTTTGTTTTTTTAATAAAAATCTGTCAAGTGTTAAGGCAACCTGTACATTACAAATACATTTTGCAAGCATTTTCAAATACAAGGTTGAAGTCATCATCTGGGTTGATGCAGGACCACAATATCTGTGACACTTGTAATAGATTATCTATTCCAGTAAAGGAGGTTGCTCAAGTGCCCAGTCTTCAAACACAAGCAGTTTCAAAAGTGAGAAGAAAAAACTCCTTACCTTCGCGATTTTGATCACTATTTGGGAGGCTCGTAGATAAAAAGCACTGATCTGTATAATACACATTGGATTAGCCTTGCCGGCAAATAGTAACCTGAATTAAAGTGGGGCGGGGGAGTACTCTCTACATCTGTAGTTAATGTCAAGTCATCTTATGATATAGTCACAAACTGCACTCATAAATAGATGAATGAGCCCTTGAAAGACAAAATGGCAGTATCGGTTTCATTTTTTTCTTGTTCTGTTAATATCATGTTATAAATAGTTTGATATTTCTTGAAAACGTGTTTTCATGTACAGTATCGGCAGCATGGTGGCGCAGTGGTTAGGATACCTGCCTTGCAGCACATGGGCCCTGGGTTAAATTCCTGGGATACTATCTATGTTTAAGTTTGTATGTTCTCCCTGTGTCCGCATGGGTTTCTACTGGGTGCGCCCATGGTGTCATCCCACATTTCAAAGACATACTTGTAGGTTTATGGGCTTCTGTAAAAACTGGCCCTAGTCTGAGCGTGTTTGTGTCTGTGAGTGCCCTGCACTGGACTGGTGTTTTATCCAGGGTGTATCCTGCCTTGTGCCTGTTGTTTGCCAGGATAGGTTCCAGCTCCCCCTGTACTGGATACAGCAAAGAAAATGGATGGATGTTTCCAGGTTGGGGGTCAGAATCTACTTGTTCAGCTTCTTTCTAAATTGAACAGAACAAAAAGGCTGATGCTGACCTAGAATTAGTCTAGAACTTGAACTAATCAGTTTGGAGAAGATGAGATTGATGCCTACAAAAGTCCCAATGCAATTGAGCCACTGTATGTGTTCTTTTCTCTTATTATTGCAGATTCCCTGCTTGCCTAGCATAATCCAGTCATTATCAAATCAATCATTTACCTTTTCTGTTTACAACATTGTGCTTCGTAATGTCCACTAAGTAAAAAAAACTGCACAAGCACTGAGGTATTATACTAAATTTGCAAACTGTAAGAATGCAAGCCTTCCTCTTGCTGTTCATCTGCTCTGACAGACGCAATGTTTCTAGCTAACCTGGGGTAATGAAAACATGTTTCCATTGCAGAGCAATAGAGCCCTTTTAATCTTGAGAAAGCAGTAGGCTGCAGAGTGTGTAGTGGCATGGATACAAAAGAATGTGAACAGAATGCAAAATCATACGGTATTGTTTAACAAGTGCCTAGAGCTCCAACAGCCACAGTACTTTAGCACTCTGAAATGTATTTTTCCCCTTCTGAATTCCTTCAAATTGAAATGTTGAAACGAAGTGATGCTTTCCTGTCAGCAGAAGCCGAGCGAGCTTCACCATAGACATCAAACAGTGAGGTCAAATGCAGCTGTAGAGCGCATTTTGTTTGGCTCAGCCTTTCATCAATCACATTCATCAAATGTAATAAACATTGCTCATTAAACTATTTCTATTGGTCAATAGCAGCTCTCCTAAAAATATTGACTGCGGTCAATGCCAGTTATCTATGAACCAATATTTATTTCAGCCAATGCATGTCTTAAGACAGTGACATTTAGAATTCTAGTCTAAATTCTGATTTTGTGCTATTGTTTGGTAATAGTGTTTGAGGTATTACAAAGCCATACTTTTCTTACTCTTAGAATATGATATGAGATCCTCGTTCATTACTTGCAGAATTTACTTACGAATCAGCACCATGGATAGCTCATTTCCCTTTAAGTTAAACTGAAAATCTGATGTTTTTGACAACTACTCTTCTTTTATACTTTCTAGTATTTAACAAATGTATACAAAAGATCTGTGTAACCGGATCTAATTAAGTACTAAAATGGTATAAAAATCATCTTCTTATGGCAGGGGCACATTACTGCCACACTGCTGAAAAATTGAGTCAAAATTAGATATGAATCATGGATATATCTCCACTGAGGTCTGACCCAGAAATTACACTAGATGCAGTTTAGAGAAAAGAGACCATACTAATTTCTGGGACTAACAGGTGTATTAGGGGCAGACTAATTAAATTGAAGTGATTTACAGTGATTTGTACTCTTGGAAGCTCTGAATACTGACAAAAGACTATTAAAATGGGTATTAATGAGGTCAGTTTCAGGACTCAAATAAGTGACAGTTAATTACGCAATACTGGTGATTCAATAATGTGTGTTATCAATGCTTAAGCTTTAATGTTTTAAAAGACCATCTGGATTGCACTCTAACATCAATTACAGTAGATACAGGTTACACCGTGAACCTGTGTGAACAATGGGCCATTTACCATGTGATCATTTGTATAAAGTGCCTTACAAAATTGCAGGGAACTACGTATTTCCAATGAAATTAACATGAAATAATAACTACTGCATTTGAATAAGCCTAGTTAGCTGCTTCGTTTTCTGCCATGCTGTAGAGAATTGGAAGTATCATTAAAATTAAACAAAGACCTTTTTTGCAACATCAGTTTGATCACTTCCAGGCTTATGAGCATCAAGCTCTTGTAATTACAGTTTTTTGTAATAACACAGTATTGTAATAAATTAAACAATAATATGAATTAAATAAACTATTTCACTTACTGTATCTGCATTCAAGATAAAATAAGATAAAAGCTTGAAGTGTCCAGCATGTTGTCCTATGCACAAGGTACTCTGTCTCACAAAAACTGAATTGCTTCAAAATTCAATGCAATAGGATTATTGTCTACTGAAGGCAGCTGCAGCAATTGTGATGTTTATGATGTTTATGATGTTTATATTTATGAAGACCAGAAAATAATTATCTCAACCTTCACATTGACATTGCACAAGATCAAGTCCTGTTGTTTGTCTTTTGAAATAGCATACATTTCAGAAATTAAGATATGGGGTTCCCCTCCTATTTCGTGCTTATTATAATTGTTATAGTTCTGTGATTATAGTCATAGAAGACAAAGAAGATTCATCTTCTCCACAGATAAGCCCAATTCAATCAGGATCATAATTTTTTTCTTAACTAAAGACAGCAAGGTAAGGAAATACATTCTTTATTATGCTTGTTTCACAGCTCACAAACAGTATCTCAACAGCTTTTAATCATGAACAAAAAATAAGGTAGCAGTTCTGTTCATTCCATATTCCTTTCAAATAATTGTAGAAGAAAAAGGTAAACTCACAGAAGCCATTTCTCTTTTCCACCCACGCATTCAGCTGCTAACTCACAAACCAACAATATTTACACAGATGTTTAAAGAATTATTGCATTGATAAGCTTAAGGGAAAGATGGAGCAGGAAGGGAACTCAAAAAAGTCAAACTAATGTTGAGGAGAATTAGAGAAAAGAGGTGGTAACTAACATTTGGAAACTGTTACTTTCACATAAAGTGAGAGCTCTTAGTCAAAGGGTGTGACCTACCTCAACTCTCCCAACACATATGGATGCTTTCACACAGTTTTGAAATGAAAGTGGTCTAAATCATGGAAAAGCCAGAATGATTTAATGCTTTAATTATCCTTTGGATGCCACTGAAAATAAATAAATAAAATGAGTCGTATAAAGGTGAACACTTTAAGTCATGCAGAGCTCTGGGTCAGATTGCCTTCTTAGTTTACAGGTTATCTATGACCCAACACAGGGCTGAGCATATCATCTTTGTTTGCTGTGCTTTTATCTTTACCAAAAGAGCTGCTGTTCAAAATACCATGCATTGCAGGATACTTGGTGGGTCATTAGGATATATTTCAAACGTCTCGAAATAGATGTAGATACATTTCACACAAAACGTCAACATTATCATCTATGTCATTATTATGATGATGGATGCAATCAATTTTGTTACAATGCCCCCTTTCAGATCTGTAATAATTCTGCCCTTTGCCATCTGGATTTTCAGCTGAAGTAAGCTTCATGAATCATAATAGGTGCCCAGTTTTGTTAATGTGTGGGTGAGATAGATTGCTTATTTTTTTACCTAGAAACTAAATGACTGAGTGAGCTTTAACAGGAGTTAGCAGCACTGGAGCTAATGTAGTGTTCCAGTCAGAATGTTATCAGAAGATGTGTTATTGTACTGACTCTTGAGCTCTCACCTCTTTAAAGAACTTGTGTGAGAGGCCTAGTGGGGAGCCTGGTGTGGTGTAATTTCTTTAGATCAGCCAGTAAAGTTAACTTTTCATTTTACTGTTTCCATGCCGTTTCTTTTGACTCATTACTTTTTAGAGTTTTATTTATGTGTTTTCTTTAAGGGGTAGAGAGTCCACCTCAGTCCATGATTAATTAGAATTATTATGTTGCAAAAAAAGCATAGCAGTACAGAATGAGACATGTGGTACAGTATATAGTGCTAATACTATACTTTTAATGATGGGTTACAAGAAAATACAGTACTAGTTTTGTTCAGTGAGCATAAGTATAAAATGGAGAGATAAAGCTGCACTAATAGACGACTTTTGATTTTACATTGCAGGGTTTTGCTGAATAAAATATAGACTTCTCAGAATACTGTACAGATAGTTTAAATTATCAGTAAATTTTAAGGAAGCTGATAAGGTTTTCCCTACGTTTATATATTGTGTGAGAATGCGTTGTGTACTGTTCGTTATGGCATATGCATTGTTATCAGAGGCCTGGAGGTGGCAGTATTACACATTCTAGGAAGGCAGTTTTCTGTCTCTGAAGCAAGAGTACCCTCATTTACATTGATGTCTAGGGCATGAAGCACAAGCTGTACATTAATAGCACTGCATGTTAACTACATGTTTGACTGAAGCAGTTTTTACAATGCACACATTGTATCAGATACTGCACTAAGTATCATTGTATATGATTCAACACCCAGAGTTGTCCTTCAGCAACTTTTGGACACATTCAGGTACCTGCCATACTATAACAGTTCTGGTGAAGTGGTCAAGTCACTTGTTTCTGTGATAAACAGTGCTTTTAGACTTTAACAATTGTACTTCCGACAGGACACTGGTGAGTAATGTAACGTTTTGCAGAATGGTCTGTCTGTCCTTCAGTAAAGCATGTAGCTGCATAGTTTTGAACAGTTCCATGTTCAAGGCAGTTAGGATCCGATAATATGCACTTTTATATAATTTTAAACTATTTCTCAAACATAATTTTCCACAATATATTTTTAAATTTCTGATGTGGATTAAAAACAACACTGAAGTAAAATTGTGAACTCACAAAACAGAACCAATAACAAGTATATGTCTGTTTAAGGGTTAAATGGTAGCTCTTCTCCCCATGTTGGGGAGAACTGCAGTTTCTGGATAAACTCAATTGATTATACCTGATGTGTCCTATTTATTAATAGACATGTACTAGTGACAAGGGCGAATTTAGATTTTCCTCATTAAACAGATCACTCTTTCCCCCCAACAACATGCAGCATTGTTGCACTTTGCTTTTAGTATTCAGGTTATTCATCTTGTGCTTCAGGGACATTGCGACACTAAAATTAAGATTCGTGCCTATCCAGTACTGCAGTTTCTGAGGTCTTCTGCACAATCAACCTTTTCACATGGAGAAAAGTGAATGGGGCAACTACAGGATAATACAAATGTGATCAGCCTACACAAGCCCCCTTTTATGATGCGTTGTGCAACTATTTTAATAACTGGAAGGTAGTGGGTTTCAAAAACAAAGTTGGAGCAAAGTTGGAGCACTCTTGCACTCTTGAGCCAAGGTACTGTACTTCACTCAGATTGCTCCAGTAAAATGTGCAGCTGTATGAATGGGCACCAAATTATGTCATGTTCAATAAATTAGACGGTAAAATAATGTGTATAGCCAGGCTGGATTTCAACTCTCTCACTACAAATGAGGGCTTCTGTTGATAGTGCTATTTCAGCTTTTTCAAGTGAAGGAGAGCTTTCAGATTTTCTTCGGAAAAGCCTAGAGAGTTAATATCTTTATTGTCACTGAGGATAGTGACTCCACTGGTTTCAAGAGTACACCACATTGCACTCAGTAGAAAGCAGCTTTCTGACAAGGAGGTTATTACGACGTGAACATGTAAGAGCTCTGAGACTGTTACATCAGTATCAATTATCTTGAGGGTGATTTTCATTCCCCTTCTTGCCAGAATTGTGTTAAACAATATAGAGTATTTACATAACAGGGCACAGAATATGCTGAATTAAATTCAGCGCAAACACACGTTCCTAATGAAGGATTCTATAGGGAGAATTTTTATTCCCCTCGTTTTCCAGCAGGTTGGTTTCATGCCTAATGTGAGACTCAGAAAAATCCCATTTGCATTAATGAGTTTGGAAGACAAGGCCTAACTCTCAGGTCAAGATTGGGCTGTGCACCCCACACTTCAGCAAACGTCACCTCTCATCATTAATTTATCGGACGTTCCCTATTTAAGATGGATTATTATCTGTATGTTTGAGTAACATAATGTATTATAATATTTAACATTTTTGTAAATGTTAGAATTGTAAAGTACATTTTGTATGACTCACTTTCTGCAAATAAATTAATACTTCCTCTTCTTTCAAACTGGGACTCAAGGTTTCAGTATTAAGATGTTAATGTTCTCTCAATTGTTATCGAAAACATTTTTTTTCAACTTAACATCCCAACACGTCTCTATTTATTTTTTAAAAAACCTTTGGTCCTAAAAGGTAGCTATTTCAAGCTATGTAGCATAACAGCTTTAACATTCCATTCCTTATATTAAACAATGCACATACCCAAAGAGGTGATGTCTCAGTAAAGATAAATCACTTCATTTGTTTTTTTTTTCTCAGCATCTGTTAATACTTAATTCATTTAGCTTTGTTGTGGGAAGCTAATCTATTTGTTTAGAATTTCATACTATTAGGTGAGAATATGGCGGGGGCTTCCAATAACTATCCACTATTTCTGTGCAATTATAGCTAACGAATCTCTGAGCTTGCAGCCAAGCTTTAGTTTAGATTCCCTGTGAATTGCTTTGTAAATAGTATAAATAATATCCCTTCCTCTCAGTATATTTGTAGATACTGTAAATGCCATTTACTCCAATCTGGCGTTTGAGGGTGTTGTCAGTGCCAAATTTTCAGCAATGTTGTACTGCCTAAATCTACAGTACATTTAATATTATTCCATCTTTATTATACTTTTCAGTGCTTTTGTGCTTGATTTAGTGCTCATGAAGTGAAGAGAGATTGGTCTGTTGTCTGGCTACTGTGCTCTTTATTGCTGTCATGTGCTGACAAAATCCTTTTGTGTGCTCTCTCTGCCATTTTCGATTTTTATTTTGTTAATCAGCATGATAAAATACGTAATACTGCAAAGCTAAATCCTTGTTTTAAAAGGGGGCAGGGGCTTGCTGTTGAGCTTTTGAAAATCAAATCGAAGAAATATCAACCAAAAGATTTATTTTTAAAGCAATCAATGCTACAGCGTAGAAAAGAAAGCAAGCTGTATGTAAAAGCATGTTCCCTATGCACACTTTCCATTGTTGATATAGGAAACTATATATAGGTTGGTCCAACACCTACATCTGATTGTCTGCTTCAACAACAACAAAAAAAGAATTATTCCACAGAAGAGAAAAATTGTTAACCTTAGTTTATCGTAAAAATGCAGAGGAAACATGGTAATACTGGTTACTGAAAAAAATGTACTTGTCAAAAATGTCAAAATAGGATTTATCCAACTAAGAGCTACAAACATTGATGCTGCAAATGTGTGCTGTCATCTTCAACCAAAGCTGTCACAGTTCCTGCTTAGTAGCTTAGCATTTCCAGGTCCCTGTGACAGTAGAACTGGTAGTTATGGGTTTTCAGTATGCTTGATTGGCTTTAGAATATCCAGCTATGCTCACCAGATAATGTGGCTCACGTCCTTCCAGAAGTCTGTAAAGTGGGCTGCGAACTCCTTTCGTGAAAAAAGAAATTGTGGATATAAATAGTTCTAATACACACAACAAAACATTCCCTTAACTGGATTCAGCTACAGATTGGTCTTCTTAAAGGATTCTAGCCACTCCTAAACACAATCACACAGATAAAACATTGGCCAAACAGAATAAAAAAAAAACAGTCATGGTAAAGGACAGAGAGGTTAATACAACACATCATATCATATATAGAGAGAGATTTAGATATTGTTAAAATAAAAGAAAAAAGAAGGGCATGAAACATATAATCCTGTTAAAATTATTGTTTTTCTTCAACCATTTGAAATGATCAGAAGTTGGTTTCTATTCGCCAACAAACAAACATGAATCACTGTAAACACCTGGGTGAGAGTTGTGGCCAAGATATATCCACACAGATGTTATACCAGAAGAAGCAGGAAAAGGTCACTCAGTGTCTCAGGTCTTTTGAAATTCCAAGTTCCCTTCCGAGGGTAGAAACCAAAGAGGAGCAGGGAAGCGAAAGAGCCAAAGTCCTCGGATTAAAGTGCTTGTGCGCTCACTCGCGGGCTGATCACAGAAGAAGGACTCCTCAGAAATGAATGGACTCATTTACAGCATAGCAAGAGCGAATGCAGAACGGCAGGTCTCAGGGCTTCTGTTGCAGCAGCCAGATGCTTTCATTTCACTGACGCTGGAGTTACAGACTCCTTTGCCCTTTCATACTGTACTGTACATGTCCTGACTGGACCCAAGCCAGTAACTGAGGAGGAGTCTGAACTCTTTATCTCCTATCTTGAGAAAAGATAGGAACAACAACAAAAAAAACGGAAAGCGCAAAGGTGGGTGCAGAGGAGGGTTAAAAGTAAACCTCTCTTTTCCTCCACGGGGATGTTAAAAATTAGAAGGAGAAAGAGAAAAAATGGTAGAAAACGAAAACAATTGAGGTGTTCCGTCCCCCACCGCCATCCCATCTATCCGCCACCCTGTGTCTCTTCTCTTGCTGGCTAAGCCACTGAGGAAATCTGCTTGTCTTCCGGGTCGCCTTCTCCATCCCCGTCCCCCATGAGTGGCTGCCTCTTCTTCAGCTCCCGCTGGTACTTGGCCATCAGGGATGCGTAGATGCAGCCGTAGGCAGCTGCCACCACCATCATTATACAGACGATCCCGCACACCACCCCGGCGATGATGACGGTGCCGATGGCTCGCCGCACACTGACGGGGCGGTACCGCTGCCGCATGCATTCTGGGATAGGAATCACAGCCGGGGTAGGGAGATTCTCAGAGGGCTGAGCAACGGGCACCACCCCTCTGCTGCATGGGGCCCCACCACCACCGCTAGCCCCCCCTGATACGGAGCCATTCTCATCCTCCAGGTGCAGGCAGTAGTTGAACATTTCAACCGGGACAGTGCGGATGTCACGACCTCGCAGGTCCTTGGGCAGGGTGCAGTCCACAGCATCAATCTTCCCGCCTGGGTGCAATATGAAAGAAACACAAAGGAAACAAAAGGGTTGCATAAGTTAAGAAGTTGTTATTAATGTTCAATACATTGATAGAAAAAATAATGTTAAATAAAAACCTAATATTAATATTATACCCTGCATAAGACCTCGTTTAATATACTGTATCAATAGCAGTGCTTCGGAGAGACTAGTATGATTCTCAGTCTTTAAATAATGTAATGCATGGACGTTTTTTAGCCAGAGGAGACTATGACAGGATTTGATTCAGCTGTCGAAAATCAAAAATGATTTGAAAAGCTCAGTCCAGGGAACTACCTAATCCTCGGCATTAGATTAGAGACCCAGGAACACAATTAGAATTTTGTTCCTCGCTGATATTTGTGTGTGGTATGTGTGAAGAATTCCTTTACTCCTTTGCCAGCTGACTCAGTTTCTTTCATTTCTTCCTACAGAGTGCTGATTAATCAATAGACAGTCTCATGGCTTGTCTTCAATTGTAGTCGTTATTCATCTCAGTCTAATTTAAACTACCTCCCAAAACATGCAATCCAAATAATCGAATCATTTTCTTACTTCTTTTTTCCTGTATCCTTCTCTGTGCTTTCTGTAAGAGTACAAGAGGTATTGGAAGATCATTTGTGTTCATTTGGTGAATCGACTTCCACATCATCCTTTCATCACTCACCTCAGGAGAAATACTGTCTCTGAAATTGCTTGACGGCTTTGGTTTTGTGAGAGTTTGCAGCCAGACAGATACTGAAAGCTCTTAATTGACTTTTCTGACTAAAGGAGGGTGTTCATTGATTGATGGTTGAATGAGGGGTTGTGCAGGCAAACCAAGTGATCATTTTCTCAAGTTTAGCTAGTCAGTCTGAACTGAAGGCTAAGAACTGTGAAATATCTTTCTGTAACAGATCATACAGAACACAGTCTGAGCACAACTCTACATTGCCTTGATATTGTCAATCAGTTGAGTTCAGCCATTAGTGGTACCCCTGTCTGTGTTTCTATGAAAGGGCACCTAAAGTGAAGATAAACACACTTAAAGTACAACTGAAGTACCTTGCAATAAAGATAGCAGATGCAACAGATACCAATAAAGGAGGCAAAGGAGGCAATACATTTGGTAAAGGATACCACAATCTGTTTAGCCTCACTGAGACAGGTCAAGCAGATCCATTTTTGCTGCTATGAGAGGTCCAGAGTGGAGTTACCGGACTCCAGAAGTACTAGAGGAGACCAAGGCATATTCTTGTTTAAAAAAATGGATACAAAGGAAGTAACCTGATTCCAAAATTAAATCAATCATTGCCATTCCCAAAACATGCATAAAAGGATGTAGTTACAATGCATGTATTTATTGTACAAAATGCCTGAAGTTATGTTTCGTTATGTACAGTAAGCATACGATACAGTAGGTATAAAATGTGCAGCCATACTTTCTCTCTTCTGAAGGAACTGGTACCACTACTTTTGAAGAACGTTTTGTGAAAGTAATAGTATATTAAACTGAAAAGGATTTAACTGATTGTTTAAGGGGAAATAAATGGGAAATTAATTAAAATCAGGAGAATCAGTTTGGCAGGGTATCTAGCCTTTCAGCATTTTTCAGAATGTTTCAAGACGGTTTAAACCCAGACAAAACGTTTCGAGTCTCAAGAATGACTCAAGACTGAGTGCCATATTTAAGAAACACAGCCTGCCTAAATGAGATGCAAATCTGTTATAAATAGAATGCATGAATATGTACGTACACATGCACATACACAGTCCATGCTCAAAGAAAACAGCTGAACAGCCTCAACTCCAATTATCATTTCTGAACACACTCTGACAGTAACACCAGAGGCCAAGAGAGAGTGGAAGCAGTTTGTGCACCAGGGAGCACACAGTCACGTTGCTGAAGATGACACACTAAGGTCCTTCAGCAGTAGCCTGGAACCACTTTAGGGTCACAGTACCTCTGCGGGCAGGAGCTAAATTTGGCAGGCAGTGTAAACAGCTTTTGTCAGAAAACTAAATGAAAGGAGCACCTTGACAGTTTTTAACATGCGACAATCTAGGGTTTCTAGTGATATATTTTTTTTAATTTGCTTTCCAGCCTTCAAAAAACAGATTGCAGAGTAAATGTACAACATCAGGGGCTAATTAAGAGAGGAAGAAAATGTTCCATCATGCCCTTCACGATCTGTGGTGGTAATAAAGTGCCTCAGGCAAAACAGTACAAATTACAGGTTTGGGATATAGATCTATCATGTGTGTAGCTAGCTCACCTTCACCAACAAACAGCAAATAACTAATTACAAATTTTAAATAATACAGTACTTTGAGGGACACTGCAGGGACACTTCCTGTTCCAAAGGTTCAGACACGTGGAGATAACATGGGTTTTTTGTTGCTATTGGGGGTTCTTCCCCTCCACATGCACAGGAGTTTGGAAACTAATGCCCTATTGAAAGTTTCCTCATTTTGCTTGCTGCCGGTACTTACCTCTGTAAAGCAGCCACTCAATCCAGTGCTTGAAGTCCCTCAGGTTGCAGTCACACTCCCAGGGATTGCCGCCTAGCTGCAGGAACTGCAGGCTGACCAGGGGCTCGAAAGCGGCTCTCTCCAAGGCATGAAGCCGGTTGTTGGCCAGGGAGAGCCACACCACCTCCCTCAGCTCGTCCAACAGACCAATGGGCACCTGGGAGATACCGTTGATGGACAGGTCGAGCTGCCGCAACCGCGGAAGACTCTGGAAGAGGTCTTTGTCCAGCACAGTGAGGCTATTGTTGCGCAGCACAAGCTCCGACAGGTTGCCCAGTTCCCTGAAGAGGGCAGGAGGCAAGTTGTCAAGGAAGTTGTTGGACAGGTCAAGGCTCTCCAGGGAGCTGAGGTTGGAGAAGGCTCCGGGGGGCAGTGCGCTCAGCTTGTTGTTGAAGAGGAGGAGGCTCTTGGTGTTGAGAGGCAGGTTGGCTGGGAGGGAGAGCAGGCCGTTGTCGCTGCAGTCCACCTCACTGTTATTACAGCGGCATGGCGCAGGACAGCAGCACACTGTCTCTGCTAGGCAACAAAGAATCCCCAGAAGGCAGAAGAGCACTGCACAAACAGAACAATGTAGAGAAAGGGAATGAGAATACAGTGGCGCAGCTTCCTCTGTCTGCACTGAAACAGGCAGAGAAAGCCCCTGAAAACACAGCCTTAATAAGCAATGATGGGCTTGTGTTAATAAGAATAATAAGCTTTGATGCATTAATTACCCGGGAAACAAGAAGGTAAAGCTACTCACATCACTCTGAGAAACACAGGATTAAATTTATTTCTTATACAGGTGTAATTCCTAAGGACATTTGTGCATTTATGCAATAAATAGGAAGACATTTTCTGTCTCTTTTTGTATATGTTTGCATATCTTATAATAAAAAAATGAAATGGTCACATCTCTGTCAAGGGAGGCTTTCGATGTATCCTAGTAACAATGCCCGTTTAAACATGAAATATTTAAAAAAGTACATAAATGATTCAAAATTTAATTTCCAGTAAACACATTGGATTAGAGCTGGGATTCTGAGTTCTGATTCTGAGATCCTGCATGTCTCCTTAAGTTATACATAGATCCTCACCCGGGAGAAAAGTGTTAAAGTGTTAAATCCAATTAAGTTTCAACAGAAGTAATTCTTCTCTTCTTCACAGCCTTAATTTCTTGACAAATTAAAGATATATAGTTGCAAAACCATATAAGTAGCTGTTCCTTATAACCAAAATATAATTACATAATATTAGTGAGTATCAAGAACTGATCTCGATTAATGAAATAGCATAATAATAGAATGTTTATTAATAAGAGTCAGATTATTTCTAAGCATTTCACAAAAGCTGGCTGATTTTAAAGTTTTGTACTTCCATGCATCCATCTTCCAACCGCTTGATTTAACACAGGGCTGCACTGGAGCCCCAGAATAACCTAGCGAGCAGCAGGTGCCAGGCAGAATACACCCTGGATGGGATCCCAGCGCACCACTGAAACAGACACACACACTCGAACCAGGGCCAATTCTCGCAGAAGCCCATTAGCCTACCAGTATGTCTTTGGAATGTAGGAGGAAGTCAGAGCATCCAGAGGAAACCAAGGTGAACACAGGGAGAACATACTGTCCAAATCCACACAGATACAGTATTGTTTTCCTTTTTTAAAATAACTAATTACTAAGAAAGTAGTAGTAGTAATAATAATAATAGTAATAATAATAATGCAGTGGTGAGCACACACTATAAAATAATCACAACCTGTAGTCTAGATCTGGGGGTGTCTGAGTCGTGACTGTCAAGCACACCGGAGGGGGAGGTAGTGGAGAGCTGCCAGAGTTTCTGGGAGCTTTGGCAAGCACCACGTATTACTGTGCTCTCCACCAAATGAGTGGGCTTCTAATGGAGCTGCCTGGTCAGCCACCCTCCACCTGGGCCTCCCATGCAGTGCAATGTGCAAAGGAGAAATCAGCAGAAGAAACTAAATCCCAGAAATGACAATTGCTGTATGATTCTCCACACCGCAGGGCTTTGGCCTGGCTCTCAAGGGCCATCGATTCAGCACGTGTTCTAAACGTCTTCCGATTATTTCATTCTTAAAATATGAGGGTTCACATTGGTAGAGATGAGCTGTCATTGAACTGGTCAGTGTTTTAAAGATTTCTGGAATAACACTTTGATTGTATGGAGCTGGAGGTCCAGGATGGGGGAATCTCTTCTATGCCTCTCCTCTCTTTTTCCAAACAAAAAAAAAGCTGACTGTTGTGATGTTATGTGAGCAGCCAAGAAAATCTGAGTTACCTTTTATAAAAGAAGGGGACTGCATAGTGGGGTGGCTGTGAGCACCATTTCGTGATCCAGAGTTTAATTAAAGCTTCAGATGTCTGTCTGTGTGGGGTTACAGATCTCTCAGCAGGTGCCTGGGGTTTGATTTGGTACCCTGGTTTCCTCTCATCTTCAAAAGATATGCTAGACTAGATATAATTTTTTTTCTAAATTGTCCCTATTTCTATGGCCCTGTAATGTAATAATGTAATGTTTCTTTATTAGCCCTATTCAATTTCTTGCATTAGGAATGCATCTTTTCACATACCCCAGCTTTTCTCCATGGAGACACAGACACAGAGACAGGGAGAGAAGCTTGGGGTCAGAGCGCAGGGTCTGCCATTGTACAGCGCCCCTGGAGCAGTTAGGGTTAAGGGCCTTGCTCAGGGGCCCAACGGAGTAGGATTCCTCTGCCGGCCGCGGGATTTGAACCGGCAACCTTCCAGTCACAGGCGCAGATCCTTAGCCACGGAGCCACCGCTCCGCCCCGTAATACTTTGCTGTCCTGGCCAGGGGAGAAGATCTCAGTTCTACCATTTATCCTAAGAACATAGGTTCTCATGTGCTTCACCCTTTTCAGTTTATGTAGCTTTCTCATAATGGATGGTTAGATAAAGAATTATATCTGGGGTGTTTTTAGAATGTGCTAAAAAAACAAAATAATCTCTTCACCCATGTATTTTCTGACCACTTTATCCCATACTGGCTTGCAAGGAAGCCCAAGCCTGTCAAAACACAATCACAGTTTCTTACTGTTATATTCTCACCTCACAACCCATCACTTTCATTTACCGCTTATCCAATTCAGGGTCACAGCCTGGCCTGGATCCCATCCCAGAAAGCAATGGATGGAAGACAGGATACATCCTGGACAGGACGCCAGTCCATCACAGACAATACACAAGCACACACTCAAGCCACAGCCTGTTTTTACAACTGCACAATTTAGGCCAATTAACCTATCAGTATGTCTTTGGATTGGGGGAAGAAACTGGAGCACCCCAAGGGAGCCCACATGCCTATGGGGAGAACATGCAGACTCCACAAAGACACCCCAAACCCTGTGAGGCAGCAATGATAACCAGTGCCCCATCATGCCACCCAAAATAATATCAAATAAAACCATTATTTTGCTGATCAACAGAAAACAGTTTAAAATAACTAACCCATAAATAACTACAAAAATCATTAACCCGGCAATGAGTACACAAACCCTTAATGGACACTCAAAATGGACAACAGAAATATAACGTAACTATACTGTAACTACAGTGTCATAAAGTGCATCCTTTATTATTTTTATGTAATTAAAGTGACATTAATTATTTTTCATTTAAACAAGCTGTGTTTTTTACTGAAGCAATCTGAATGAAGTACCTTGTCCAAGGAATAAGAACAGTGCAAGCCAGATCTGAACCCAAAACCTCCCACATATGAAGTTCAGAACCCAAACACACAAATCATATGCCATCTTTCAAAACTGAGAATCCTTTCACAGGGAACCTGCTCTCTGCAAAACTGTGTTAAACTGCCCCTTTCGGTCTGTTTTTTAAAAATATATTTCTTCAGTAACATTTTTTAGTATTATTTTGCAATCCTGCAAATAGTTGTACCAAAAAATGTCCGTTGGGAGGATGATTTTAACTGTTCTTTATTTTTCCTGTATGAAAATCAAGACTTTGACACTGATATCTTTGGAGAACTCCAGGCTTCATTCCAGCTACAGACTGATATATTGCTTCTGACATAAAATAAAAATTTTCTTTCAGAATCTATTTTTTTATTTTCCATTCATTTTTCTCCAAAAATCCTAAAACTTTGTGTTTCTAGGCCCAAAGTTTAAAACGTTTTATACCTGTGTCTTTTTTTTCTTATTATTTTGTAATTATAAAATAATTCAGAAAATATGAATATGCACAACATAAAATAAAGGTCAATGCTGCTCTTTATACTTGCATACTGAACACTAAAGTATACTGAATTCACAGTAATGGGCAGCTACTGTATATATGCTTCCAATGAAAAACAGTGTCTTATTTGACAGGTTCCAGGTGACGTACTCTAACTGGCAGATGTGGTGTTTTTTCCTGTGGCTAAATCAGATCCCCAGTGTTCAGTTATACAGTAAATTTTCTGCTTTGCAGAAGACCCTCTTGGTCTACTTAATAATTATGTGTCTCAGAATGGTTTGCAGGATGGTTGATTAGCAATGCAATGGAATAACTAAGAGAGGTTCTGCTCCTTTAGCTTTCAAATTCCAGCCAGCAAGTTTCACTCATTGTTACTTCAGCGCCACCTGGTAATTTGAGCAATGGAAATTATAGACAGTTCGTATGGCATTACACTTCAACTTCGCTTCTCCTCAAAGACCCCGTCATATGAAACGCAGCCCGATGCCAGCACATCACATCATGGAATGCTTTTTTAAAAATTAAAAAGAATGACGCACAACCAGGTCAAAGTGACCTTTCCATTAGATTGTTCGCTGATTTTTTTTCATACGGTAGGTGACACAATACTACATTACTGTAGTGAACTGAGTGAACTACAGTAACAGGCTGTGAGGTCAGTAGCGTTCAACAGAAGAAATAAGGGCTACCAGCTTCTTTTGGAAGAAGCTTTCCCTGTCCTGCTGTATACCAAAGTAATCTCCTTGGTTTTCATGCCAGTGTTTTTGGAAGATATGAAGTTTCCATTTATAATGCAGCTTTATACTGAAACTAGATAGATAAGTGCATTGCTGCTTGCTGGTTTTTCATTTATTTTGGGGGTAGGCATATCGGCTGGTACATTTTGCTCTCTGTGGGACTGTGTAATTGCTTTCAAAGTTAATCAAGAGTGTCATGCAGTCTGATGTTTTTAACAGAGGAGAAGAGCAGACACAAAAAGACAGCAGGTAAAGTCGTTCATTGTGTTATAGAGCTCTTCAGGAAGTAAAGGTACTCAACAGAACTAGGTAAATACGTTCTTTCTTGTTCAGAGAAATACAATTAGATTGCGCTCCAAACACTTGTTTATTGGGAATTGTGCAGATCATCTCAACCATTCTCAGTTACGAGGTGGAGATTATTTAGTATATATCTAGTCATTTAATCCCCCAATAAAGTAAATAATGCCACGACTGAAACAACAAAAACACATTAAGTCATCAGCAATCTCCATTGTCAGATTGAAATCTTCAATATGGTTTTCCTTGGCAGCCTTCATCACCTGCTCGCCCAGACTTAGTTCAAAGCTTTTTCACCAGCGACATTATATGTGGTGTGGAAATCACGTCAGCTTTAAAAAGTAGAATAAATCACAAGTAGTGGCTGGAGGAACTGTTTGTGTGTGTGCATGTGCTTTCTGGGGGAGGGAAGTGAGAAAGAAGATTAAAATAGATTAGACTGAAACACCCAGAAATAAGTCACTTGAGCACCAGCACTCAGATTAAAGAGCACTAATTTATGGAAATGTATCTCTCTTTTTTTTAATTATTAATGTGGTAAACAGCATACATTATTTATAACCTCACAGTGGCTGGCCTCTGTCTTTTAAGTGGAGTTTATAAAAAAAGTTCGGGAGGGATGACACCAACCAAGTTCAATTGGACTCAGCTGTCAGTAATTAGCAATCGCTCCTGAAAATCCATTCCTCTCCCAAATGCTATAAACACTTACGAGATCCCTCTCTCTCTCTTGCATCCCACATCCACCCCATTTCCTCCTCCTTGTCCTGTGGCCGGGAGGCCAGCCCTCAGTCAAGCTGGTTAAGCCACAATCTAATTCTTGGGTGTTTGTCATTCCTCGTGAAATATACCTGTACTTGATGAAGATATCAAAGACGTACACTAGTCTGCATCCAAGGTCCTGTCGGGTAGTGGCACGAGTTTGAAGGGGATGTGAAATATTTTATCAATTTTGATTTACTTTGGCTTCCTTTTAAAGTCTGACAGAGCAGTCTATTGAAACTGCCTCGCTATTTCATCATCACATCATCACTTTCAATAACTGCTTATCCAATTCAGCCTATCCCACAAAACAATGGGCACAAGACAGGATACACTGTAGATGGGATGCCAGTCTATCACTGGGCACACACTGACACAGCCACGCACACACTCACACCAGGGCCAATTTGTACAGAAGCCAATTAACCTACCAGTTAATTACCAGTGTTTTTTGGATGATATGAAGTTTCTAAACAGCATTATAATTAAACAAGAGAGATAAGAGGCTTGCTGGTTTTTCATTTATTTTGGAGGATAGGCATATACTGTAGGAAAGTATGTTTTGCTCTCTGTGGGACTGTGTAACTGCTTTTGATGTAAATCAAGAGTGTCGTGCACTCCCGTATGTCTTTGGACAGTAGTATGACAGTGGAGCACCCAGAGCAAACCCGCGGGAACATCGGGAGAACATACAAACTCCATGCAGACAGACCTTGATATTTCTAAACTGACAATCGTTAAAGATTGTTTTGGTGTATGCAGTAGAGTTTCAAAGACTGACAATACAGTCAATCAGCAGTTATTTGGAATATATATAAAATTAATTCACCTGTTTTTTTTTGGCCAGCTCTACTGTACAATTGTGAAATGAGGGTCGCATGTGCTGTCTCCATGTATTGTAATGTCAGGCCCATTTGCTATGTTCTCATGTACTGTAATGTCCATGTCACTGTTCACAGAGAAGAACTGGCTTGGACTGGAGCATTGGAGCATTTCTCCCTGACAACTCAACTAGCTTACAGGTACCAGGCAAGTGACAGAGGTCACAACTGCATTGCAATCCAACTGAAGCACAAAACACCTCAGTGGTGCTTAGCAAGATAATTTTCCCCTGCATGATGAATAATTTTGGCCTACAGGCCTAAGCCTGAACCCTTCACTGGACAAGCACGTGGAGAAGATACAAACTTTATACAGATGAATAATTATAATAATTGCTTACACGTATATAGCACTTTTCTGGACACTCCACTCAAAGCACTTTACAGGTAATGGAGACTCCCCTCCACCACCACCAATGTGCAGCATCCAGCTGGATGATGCGACGGCAGCCATAGTGCGCCAGAACGCTCACCACACATCAGCTCTCAGTGGGGAGGAGAGCAGAGTAATGGAGCCAATTCATGGATGGGGATTATTAGGAGGCCATTAGGAGATGATTGGTAAGGGCCAATGGGAAATTTGGTCAGGACGCCGGGGTTACACCCCTACTCTTTTCAAGAAACGCCCTGGGATTTTTAATGATCACAGAGTTTCAGGATCTCACTTTTACGTCTCGTCTGAAGGACGGCGCCTGTTTACAGTATAGTGTCCCCGTCACTATACTGGGGAATTAGGGCCCACATTGACTGCTGGCCCCACTAACACCTCTTCCAGCAGCAACCTTAGTTTTTCCCAGGATTTCTCCCATCCAGGTACTGACCAGGCTCACACCTGCTTAGCTTCAGTTGGTTGCCAGTTGTGAGTTGCAGAGTGATATGGCTGCTGGCCAGATAGCACTTTAGGTCTGGAATTGAATCTAGGGTCCCAATGTTGTGACAGCAATGCTTACCACTGCACTGCCCTGCCGCTCCCCTTCCTAATCAATCTGATCTAATTTTTAAAAATTAAACATTTTTTTTTTCACCTCAATTTGCAATGTACAGTAAATATACTATTGGGAAATCTCTGGTAGAATCTTTTGTTTGCCCGAGTCCCCATCTTTGTTTAACCTTATTTAACATGTATTATTTTCCACTGCCATAGTCACAGGCAGTATTCCTGTACAAATACTAAGAAAGTTTCACTTGGGGTCTTACAGAAGAGTGTATTTGTGAGAGAGGTGGAAGACTGTGGTCCATTAATGCTGGTGGAGTTAGAAAAATCTAGGCACTGTAAAACGTCTATGGCTGACAAATTGTGACTCAGCTCAGAGAGCAGCTGGAATGCACATGTGGTTGACAACTGAGGGAGTTTCCTGATGGGGTGTGTGAATAGTGGGGTGCAATGAAACTTCCCACAGAAGAGCACTCTTACTGCATGACAAGCTACAGAGTGGAGGCCCTGGAGATTTTTCTTTTTTTAACTGCTAAAAACACTCTCTTTCTGAGTGGAGCTGTGGGCTCAGATGCTTCTCACTCATATTTATCCCACTCAAGAGTCGACTGCATCTCTCCATCACCATGCAATCACTGCAAACAGAGCCGTAGCTATGGTAGCTGTTACCAGATAGGGCCCTGTTTTTTTGAAGTTAAGAAAAAGTTCAGATTTAGAAAAAAAAATGGAAAAAAAACCCATCAGACTTCATTTTTAAAACCTTTTTTCATGACAGATCATTGTGAAACTTGTAATAATATCCCCTGTAACACTCCCACCATCACTAATACAGCAGTGACCTTATTTAAACAAGTAAAATCACCAACAAGAGCACTCTTAGTTTAGTATGTTCTGTGTAACATTAGCAGACTCAACTCCAAATATACAATATCTGGTACAATACTTTATTCCCTGAACCACAAACTGTGTTTATCCTAATGCAAGCCAACAGAAAAAGATTACAGATGCATTAACCTGTCTGCTGTAATATTAATCAAAGAGGGTACTTACTACTGAAAATGTACAAATGTGAAGCACTATTTTTAAATCTGAGCTCTCTCACAAGAACTCATTTGTGCTTAGTCTCATCAAGTAGAAAAGTACAACACAATGTCTGTTGCCCAGAATACAAACTCTCTGGGGAAGACTCATCACATACTGTATGCATGTGTATATTATTGTTGTTTTTAAGAAAGCATCGTGTTAAGAAACAAGGTGATATGTTTTTTAAAGATCTAATCTGCAGGTGGTTTCCTCTTCACCGAGTGTCCGTTCGTGAGATCTGTCCTCTTGATGAGACAGAGTGTCATTGATATTTGTAAGAATAAGTGCTAGGAGTCAAATATGTGTTGGTGATTAGCAATCACTTTCTAACGTTATCTGACAGTGAAAAAAAAAAGTTGTCACGATCTGTCCAAGCAGGGAATGATTTCAGAGTGGGTGCGGTTGAAGAGAAAAAAAATTCCAGCTTCCTTGACTAATGAACTTGAATTTTATTACATTTCCTAAAGACATACTTTTAAAGTCCTCAAATAGCATATCAGCTTTAGAATATACAGCAGAAATATGCAGTCATCAGTACCACAGAATAAAAAAGCTTTTCACTGACATCAAAGACAGAAGAATAGATTTGTCAACTTTCACTGCATTAATAGAGTAATCTCAGAGTTTTGGCACTCCTTCAGTGATGAGGCATGTCGGTTTAAAGTCTCTGGTGCTTTGTCTTGTTCCTTACAGGGTTCTATTTATCTTGTGCGTTCAAATCTTTACTCTGAGATAGAGGGCAGGAAAGAGTAACAGCAACCACTCCTCGGTACTCACCAGGGGTGCTCAGAGTTTGCGCAGGTTTTCCCTGCTGTAGCTGAAAGGGCCCAGCTTGGTGCCCCATGTCAGATGACTATTGCTATGATGTTCTTCAACCGCAGGCCTCACATCAGTGTGGCATGACCACACTGCTGCCACCACAGGAGACAAGGTGAGAGCGCCTTTGTGGTTGGCTCCGTAAAAGTCAAATGATCTTTAGTCCCGGAACAGTCCTGGAAAAAAACAACAACAGATTGTTCTGGATCGTTCAGATTTTAAACAATCATCACAAGAAGCTAGTTGTTCGGTGTTCTCAACTTCAGCAGATGTGTTTCATTTTTTTTTTCTGCAGACAGGCCTCAATATATACAGTAATGATATCTAATTCTGATCATGCCTTCCTCACCACCTCCGGAGGAAATGATTAAATTGACACACACTGGCAAGCAGACACCCACAGCCACACAGACAGACACGCACACAGGGCGACTGAGGCGGGCTGTACAGACTGAGGATAATTAAGGATAACTATGGGGATAACTTGGAACAATGGCGCAAAAATACCCCTTCAGCGTTTTAAACGGCATAAATAATGTATCAGTACGGGTGTTAGCAGTTTGCAAAAATATTTACACAGGCCCCTTTGAGGCAGATACCCCGCTGTCTGTTTTACAAAAGCTGTGATGAGATTTGTTTGTTGAGAGTGGCAACACAGGAGCTTTGGGCCTGCATTGTTGTTCTCGACAGCACTTGGGGGAAGGGGAGAGCAGAGTTTGTACTGCTCAGTTTGCGATATATGGTAACAGTTCCCTGAGTCCAAGAATGCAGTTATTTAGGGGGTATTATTTCAGCATTGTCTGAGAGTTTAATTATATGATATGTTACTATTCCATGAAAGCAATGCTGCTTTTTTAATGGGGACTGGGGACATGCTTATTAGGCAGAAGAAAATAATGAGAGCTGAGAATGGAGGTGTTCATGGAACTCAGTGGTTTGCGGTAGTTGGGTGGGGGGAAGAAGTCGAAGGAATTTTAAGTGTCGAGTACAGAAGCGAACTGCAGTTGAGCAGGCTTATTCCTGATCCCCCACTGCCAAACAGTAAGTCAGATTTATTGTTGCCAGAGAGCACCTGCCATGCAATGTCCTGTTTTATGAAGGGTAGCCAAGCACCTCAGTGATTTGTAAGGGTAATCTGACCTATTTCCTTTTGCTTTAAGATGCTGGTTCTCCTTTCAGTGCAGCTGAAGTATACACAGCCTGATCTTTAAACATGTCACAAAAATGGCTGTTTTTATTCAGTTTTTGAGCTTTCATATGTTTTCAGTTCTGAATAAGATTAAATTTGCACCTTCTCACTACTGCGACTGCCAATGTAAGAAACTGGCAATATGTTCAGCTCTGTGACAGATGTCTCCAGACTTTGCTTTTTTTATGGATAGACCGTAAACACCTACAGTAAATAACCTGGTTTTGTACAGTGTTAACCTTTCTGCTTTTTCAAACTCTATCCTGGTATTCAGAGCTTCTCAGAGCTCATTCATGAAGATAACCAGCATCAACTAGTCATTCTGAGAGTCAGCCACTGAAGATTAAGAAGTTTTTGGATTGGGAACAAAAACATTTGCTTACTTTGCAGGCTTGAGGTGTTAGGGAAATAGTCAGAAACCCCTTACACTTTCTGTAAATCCCCTTTAAAGCCCTTAAAGTTCTGTAAAGTTTCTGATGGGCTTGTTAAATTTTTGCCTTTACCCAGTGTTTTGGGCTGTGGTCTGCATACCACCCTACGTAATACATATCCATGGGTTCACATCAAGATGTCTAAAGAATTTGGGATCAACAAAACTAACCGAAAGACCTCTTGATGGGAAAACAGAGTGCTTTTCACAAAATCTCCCAGACATCAGACAGCATGGTTGCTAAATCATATCTACGATGCAAATGTTGCCTTCATGAACAGTTTTTCCTTTACTCCATGGTGACTCTTCATCATTGAGTCCCCCTACAATCTTGGTGAGTTTCTATCTGTAACACTTCACGTGATGTGATCGTTTTAAATGTTCAACAAACCTTCACCCCTGGACCTGGAAATGCAGGAAACTGAGAGGGGATCAGGGCAGAGGGTTACACTAAGTGGATTATTTTTCAATAATCCATGCAGTATTATGTTGCATGGAAACAGTCTATTTATACTGCACTTGCTGGTCAACAGAAAACGAGTATACATTGTTCTCTGGTATTGGGCATTAGTGCTTATCCCTTTCCCACTCCTGATGGGGCCATCCGTATATGGCATCCTTTTTTGTGAGTACCTACTTAAGGTTGAAAGCATCATGTCCACCTAAAATCGTTTTCACTGAATCTCCAAAGCTCTTTTATGAAGTATCTTCTTGTTGCTCTTACTTGACTGCCAGTATCAACAGTCATGCTACCCTTAGACCATCTAAATGAGCTTTTAAAGTGGTGATTAATTAGTTTTGCACATTTTGTGATCCAGAGCTTTGTATATGTATCCTCTGTCAGATCATTAAGACTTTTTTGGATCTTCTCCATAAGCCAGTATCTGAGATGTGTAGTCCAAATGCTGTTGCACCATGACCTCTTACAGCCTATGCCCTTGCAACTGGATATTTCAAGCAGGAAACATGACAGCCAGTCTGTTGCATTCAGAAAAATTTGAATGTGTGCTGCAATCTTACTTTTGTTTATAAACCAGTCATGCTTATCCTTAAAAAAATCCTCAAAGGCCTTGTTCTCTACTTACAGACTCTTGAAGGCAAGCAAAAAGGTGGACACAATGTTTTTTGAACTCTTCTGATTTGAAAATGTTATTTTTTTCTACTCATGTAAATCTAGCATGATTTCAGGCATAGGCACTTTGAAATGTTCTGTTAAATCATTAGTCCATAAAGCATCGTGTTGAACAACTCTTATAAAAAGAGACAGTAAAGGGATTCCATTCATTGTTGCAGTATGCAACAAATGCAATATGATTGAACAGTTACTTGTAACATGCATAGATTAATGAAAATGATGAGCATACTGTGCCATACTCTGACAGAAGTGAAAAACACTTTCTTTGATTTAAACATGCATGCACCAAAGTAAAAAAGGTATTGTATACTGTATATTACATTTTAAAAATTGATAAGCTGATAATAACGGTACTGAAACTGCTCCTGAACAGTGGTTTGTTTATGTCATATGAATATAGAGCACACAGTACTGCCTACGTCATAAAGGCTTGACACACCTGCACAAGAAAGCAAACGAATGGATATCTTAAAAAGTGCAGAACTGTGCTGTAATCCACACTCCATGCAATCACAAAAACCAAAGAAACCACAGCATTAAACAAAACTGCACTTTACACTCTGTATACATATACAATTACAATACAATAGTATACATATAACATGTAAAGCCATATGTTGTCTGTTGATTTAATAAAAATCTGATAAGTCTGTTACTTATTTTTTGATAGTCCATCCTAATGTTTGTTAAAGGATTTGCAGGGTGATATACAGTAGCTGCTTATCTTAAAGATCCTAACACATCCATGCAGAATATTTATACTCATACATGTTTGATGTGATAAAATAATGAACATGTGTGTGTATAAGGTTCAGGATAATTGCACCTTTCACTGCTTACTATGCAAAGATATTTCTTTTTTGTTACAGATGTCATTCCTTCAGCTATTCCTGTTTTCACACGCATTTAACACGTGAATAGCAGCCATGTATTTGTGGCTGGCTCTGCACTGAAAAGCACATACATGCATGCATTTAAGCAGAGATTCTGCTGTGCTTGATTGGAAAAATACACTGTACTAAGGCTTGTCCTTTAATTCCAAAAAAGGCATCATTTGTTATCTGCAGTTTGAAGTTCAGCCCACACTTACAAGCAAGAGACCTTTCTGTAATTCAAGAATGTCATATAATATATTTATTCATTTAGCTTTTTTTATGTTTTCATTTATTCTTTTGTTGGCTTTTTTGTGTATTTGTATACAGTAAATGATATGCAGTGAGTCAAATGCCAGTTAGATCAAGTGTCAAACTGTTTGCATGAGCCAGACTCGGAGGGAAATTATTTTGAAAAGTTATTGAATTACAAACCACAATGAGGAACAAAGAGATGGTAAGAACAAAAGCTGTGAGCTTGTTTTAATAAATAATTGACACTCCTCATGTAGCATTCTGTCTTGCTTTGGAGGCGATATGTGCAACAGTTATGTATTTCATACAATTCACCTTGAACAGAACTCTGCTTGTCATGATGTCTTTAATATAAAATTATTACGTAACAGTCATATTCTTATACACTGAAGTTACAAATGACATGCACTCAAGGGCTTTCCAGCCTGAATATAAATGAAGATTATATTTTTCCTATCAATATTCATAGCAATTCTCAATTATTAAAAGTGTCGACAGCAGGACAGCTGCTTCTCTTTGAGCAGTCACAGATGCCCATACATCAGTACACACTTATTGTCAGTGATGCTCATTCACAGTACTTGTTCATATGTCTCATTACAGCAGAAAATAAAAGCACACACCACAGCACAAATCTACCATTCAATACTGATAGAAATGCATTTTCACACAGATCCAGCCTTACTTTAGCTGATTAACAAGGACTAAAAACCATTAATCTTCATAATGCAATTTCCAGGACTGCCACTGATGACAAGCAGAAAGACTGATTAATGTACTGTTAGCTTACAACAAAATCCAGAGACAGATCCTTGATTTTATTATCGTGACATTAAAAAATAATCCTGATTACCACACTTTATTGGGGGTTACCTGGAGCCTTTTATTTCAGATTTCGTTATGTGTTAACCTCTACACGACTCGTGCTTAAGTGCTAAGCAGACTAGTACAGCACTGTTGCAATGTCTGAGACTGCCATACAAATCAGTTTGGATATTATTCCCTCATTCAGGCATCCACAAACAAGCAAAAAAATAAAACACTCACCGTATCCCATTAATTTGGTCACCAGAACTGGGAGACTTTATTTTTCCTTGTTAAAAAACATCAGGGTCTTAATGAATAAGGGAAGAAATGATCGTTTAATCCTCTCAGTTCTGTATGTATAACAGAAGACTCCAGCTTTGAAAAAATCAAGTCATTTGCAGTTTGTTAATCCTCCGAACTGTCTGTGATGAAGCTGAATTGATGAAGAAAAGGGTCTTCTCTGGAATAGCTGGTCCTAGTATCCAAGCTTTGAGCCCTGGGGAGCCTGCCACTGAAATGCCTTCTTGATGCCCAGTGTCTGTTGCAAGCCACTGTCATGTGCTTGATTCTGTATTCAATGTGCAAGCAAGCATGTGTGTCCGGTGCCTGTGTCCGTGTGTCCGTATGTGTGTCTCCTGTCTCCCCGTGCGTCTTCTATGTGTTTTCTGTGGGTGCGTATGTGTGTGTGTGGCTTGGCTTGTTAAAGATAGTAACATTAGAGCGTGCCGCTGTTGTTTCTGCTGTCTCCTCTGGTTACACTGAGAGCATCAGCTGATACGGCTCAGGACCCCAGCAGGCGAGCAGTTCTTTTCAGAGAGGCTGGCTTTTGCTTTTCTCTCTCTCTCTCTCTCTCTCCCCCTCTTTCTCACATGGAATGACAGTACAACGTGAAAGAGGCCTTTGCTAAAATTCTGTTGGGCGGGGTCCTCGTGCGTGTTGCTCTGTGACATGTGGATTTTGCACACGCGTGTGTGTTTGGCGGGGAGGCATGATCAGCTGTTAGAGTCGAATTTGTGTTGGAATGAAGAAAAAAAAACAACAGAATTGTGATTGAGGCAAGGGGACAGATTTCAAGACTTTGTGAGGATTGTTAGGAACAAAAGACTGCTCATTCAGTCAAGGATTTAATTCTGCCTGCCCCACCCCCCAACAGTATGCGACTGGTAACATATTCATGATTAAACCTACAATTTGTGTGCTAAAATGAGCTGGTTGCAAGTCAGGCAGAATGTTAGCATAGAGTGTACAGAGAGTATTTTTGACAGTACAGCAATAGCATTACCAGACGATACAGGTTTGGCATGGTGCTGCTGAGCTACAGAATGAGGTGGATGAAGCTCTGTGTCCTGGAGAGAACATAATCTGTGGTATAGCACAGGGATTAGTCGGCCTTCCACAGCATTTTCCCAAACGAACTTGTACGTCATAAGCAGCCTCCAATCACAGTTAAATGTTGAAGTTACAGAGTACTTGAAATGCTGATGTATTTGAATCAACATGTCACATGTGCATGCATCACCTGTGTTGAGAGAGAGACAATAATCAGGGTAGTCGGGGGCTGCCTGTGAACGTTTTATCCCAGTAGAGAATGTAATTTTTCTTTTTCATTTTAACTTTGAAAGAACAGCAGTTTGCTGTCTGAAAAGCAGGTGTGTCTTCAGTAGATGGTACCAGCTGCCGAGGAGAATGCAGTTTAGACTGGACCTGGAACTGGAATTTCTTCTCAGCGCAATTTACTGTGTTGCTGTGAGGTCAAGCAGCCACAGATCTGTGCAATTTGGTTATCTGGTTATCTTTGCTAAATGCAAACGAGTCATGATGATGTCGTGAAATGCAAACTCATTAGGGTCTGCACCCTACTAGTTTTTTCCTGCACCAGAATAGAAGCCTAAGCGAGTTTCCAGCTGCCTGAACACAGTCACAGTATTAATGTAAAACAGTGTGTTAATATGGTGAAGACTCAAATCAGCTATGTAGAGCTGTCTGGATCAATTCCTGCAGCAGAGGGTGTGCTGGTATACTTTGGTAGATGTAAATGATGTGGATGTTGTCTTGTGTGCAGTAATTTTAAAGCATTTGTCTGCATTAAGCAGAGCTGTGTGTACGCAGGAAAATGTGCTTCACTTACTGCTGACATCGAAGGCTTAAAATTACAAAACATTTTCTGTTGGAATATTTTTACTGTCTGGCTTAACAGTAACATCTAATTAATCTGTTAGACCAACATGTGAGAGTCACATATACTGTAACTCATAATATTAGAAACAAATTTTAGAATATGATGTTTTATTCACTGTTACTAAACGATCTTAGGTTAACTGGAAAAGGAATGTCTGCTTATTAAGGAACAGTAGTACTGAAATGTTAAACTTGTTTATTTGCTCTGTTTAGTTGACATGAGAATGGGCAACAGGCATTTTAGTGACAGCAGTATTGCTTTAGGATGAGTAAAAAAAACACCAATAGCATCTGGTGTTCTCAGAATCATTGTCAGTCAGGGTGTCTCTGCAGGGGCTAATCTACTGTATTAATGAATGTGAGTCTGTGAGCTTGTGTGTCTGTGAGTATGCCGGAGTGCATCTCCAGCATCAGTGTGTGATTAGAGCAGGAGGCAGGGAGCCAGCAGCCCCTTTGATTCTGCCACCCCAGGTCTGCCTGTTTATTTTATTTAGCTGTCATTTGAATGGGACACATACAATTATAACATTAGAGCCGCAGCTGAATGACTCAGGACTCCATGCTTCGCTGAAGCACAGACTGGTTTTCCTCCATAGCATTCAGGCAGGCAGTGTTGGAAATTAATCACATGATGTCACTGGGGGTATACCTCAGAAAATATGACTTTCAGATAAGCTGCAAGCCGTTAGAGCTCGCCATTTGTCTCAATGCAATCTCAGGGTCAAAGCTGAATTTCAAATATGTCTTGGGTGATTCATTCCTTTTACGAATAGTTCCCAGGTAAAAGCTAAGTCTAGTAGTCTAACAACAACAAATAATAATTTTAACAAAATTCAGACTCCTTCCTCTATTGATCGCTATACATATTTTAATAATAATTATAATTCCTTACACTTATACAGTGTAGCGTTTTTCTGGACACTCCACTCAAAGCACTTTACACAGGTGTAATGGGGACTCCCCTCCACCACACCCAATGTGCAGCATCCAACTGGATGATTCGACAGCATCCATAGTGCTCCAGTGCGCTTACCACACAGCAGCTATCAGGAGGAGGAGAACAGAGTGATGAACCCAATTCATAGATGAGGATTATTAAGAGGTCATGATTGGTAAATCATTGGCTAGGACTACAGGGTTACACCCCTACTGTTTTCAAGAAAACCCTGGGATTTTTAAAGACCACAGCGACCTCAGTTTAACATCTCATCCGAAGGACTGTGCTTTTTTGTAGTATAGTGTCCCTGTCAATATACAGGGGCATTAGGGCCCACCCATGCCGCAGGGTGAGTCCCCCCTGCTGGCCCCACTAACACCTCCTCCAGCAGCAACCTTAGTTTTTCCCAGGAAGTCTCCCATCCAGGTACTGACTAGGCTCACACCTGCTTAGTTTCAGAGGGTTGCCAGTTGTGAGTTGTAAGGTGATATGGCTGCTGGCGTTTTGAAGAACCAACTAGAGTCGGTTTTCGTTAGAAAATTCATTCACAGGTCGAATCCGCCCCTGTGGCTTAGTCACTCTTCTCAGGCCTTTCTACAGTATAAGGCTTCCATTTCCTTTCAATGGTGTAGAAGTCAGAAGTGTGGATCCTATTCCATTTGCATTCTGACAGGGTCTTTGTGAAACTTCCAGATTTTCTTCCTTGTTCCATATCTTGTTTTTGTGCAGTATGTCAAGCATCTTGTTTGTTTTTACAGTATATTGCTTCTCTGTCTCTGTTTCTCTGTCTATGGAATCCATGATGTGTACCACTCATGACACAATTTTCACTGTGGTTATATATTCTATAATAAGAGTAAATTTATCTATACTGACTAAAGCAAATAATAATTGAAGATAATTAAATTCCTGAAAGTAACCCAATTTATAATGTTATAAAAACTTATGCAGTACTTAAAACCAATGCTACATATTTTACCTGCTGTTATGTTTTTCCTTTTGGTGGAAATGTTATATTAACTAAAATTATATTTGAAGAACGTGTGCCTTTTATATCATGGCTGGCACCTCCTTAAAAGGCCCACACTTGTGCATTTTATATTTGGATCATTGATTAGTTTATTCATTGGGAAGGAAACACAAGTGTTAACATACAACACACACTGTTACATTAACATGCCAGTGCTCAACACAGCTTGACACAGTTGACATTTTATTTAGTTCAGCTTTGCAAAACGTTTTAAAACCTTCCCTAAAAATATAAATCATATATTTTCAAACTTCAGTTTAGTTTGTATCTGCAGGTAATTGAATATCAAGCTGCTAAACTATTTTAGAGAGTCTGAGATTAATAAATTAATGACTAGTTCAGAACCCTATGTAACTCCACATCTTACTTACAAAGTACTTCAACCTCACTTTGCTGTGTGATTATTAAAAATCAGTGCCAAATGCTTGAGTTGGGTTTTTTTTGTATATACCCTTTATTCTGTTGTGTTCCAAGTAAATAAGCGAACACCCACATACTAAGTATAATGCTTTTTTGTTTTTATTTTTATTTCTACTGTTATACATTCCCTAAAGCAATACACATTATACTTATGCAATACACATTTGTGTTTTAGATTTTAATCCTATGGCATTTAAATTCAAACCAATTTTTTATTGCATACTGCTCCACCATGGGCCTCCTGAAAGTAGGATGTTCTAGGTAGATGAAACTCACAAACTCGACAGAAATGTAACCAGGAACCAGAAATATGCACAAACAGAATTCTCACCTTTCCATTTCAGGGGCTACAAAGCTCTTCTGGAAATGATCATCTATTCCATTGTTATCCTCTCATTCAAATATCTTTAATTAAGAGCAGCACAGTAACATTGTAACAAAATAAATCTTTCTTGGGTTAAAAGATTCCCCTATTTTAGTAGTTTGGTCAAATTCTAATTACAACAAAATGAGCCAAGGAATATAAAAGGTTTATGTACTGTAAGACCTTGATTGTTAACACACTTGGCTAAGGAAATAATGGCACTGGTCAAAGGTCAGAGACATCATAATCGCCCTCACTTATGAGGAATGAACCAATGAGGAAGCTATAAGGGTGCAGGTAGGGTTGGGGAGTCAGGTCTATAAAAAAAGCAGCCAGAGAGTATTTATGTAGGAGAGTGGCAGTGCAGGATTTGAATTTGACCTCCTCCAAAATGTCTGTTAAATACTGTAGTCTTGGCAGTCTGTATACAGTGTTCCATGAGCCTGCAACTGTGTAAGAAAAGCTTTTTGATATTTATCCATCCATTTTCAGTTTTTTTTTTCTCATTAAGGGTGAAGGGAGCCTGTCCCACCAAGCTTTTTGATTTCCAATGTGGCTCTACCATACAAAGTAGATTCATTTATTGTTCTTGCATATGAACCAAGTTTGTTTTAGTTTAGTTAAATGAGAGAATAAATACATAATCTCTGACTGTTTTTCTTACTTGAAGAAAATAGAGAATAATGCACACCCAAATTACTGAAGTTGTCGAAGTGTGCTGTCCAAGGGATTCAATAAAAGCGCTAAGTTGTCACAAATAGACATTCACTGTGTGGTGGCTCTGTGGCTAAGGATTGGTGCCTGTGGCTGGAAGGTTGCTGGTTTGTATCCTGTGGCCGGCAGAGGAATCCTACTCAGTTGGACCCCTGACCAAGGCCCTTAACCCCAACTGCTCCAGGCAT